GGAATGCCTCCTTCAGAAGGTGACTAGGATGCCGTGATGGGGAGGAGGCTGAGTGGAAGGAAGGAAGAGAATGCCCACCCCCCCCCCCGGCCTTGGCAATGTCAGCGCAAGTAAGCAGGTGGCTGGGCAGAGGTGCAGGTCACAGAAGAAGTGATGAATGATGCTGGGGCCACAGAGGAGCAAAAGGAAGCTGGCATTTTGCGTGACCACATCATCAATATCAGCAGCCAATGCTCCTTTCATGCCCAGAGTGGATGATGCCAGGGGAAGTGGGGAAACCATATCAGATGAGCATCGATTCAACAGCGTACTTCGAGCTAGGGTTTTTTTGTCATTTGAGTATTTAAGCTTCACACAACTTTCTTGTTTACAAATGATGCCAGATTGTATGTTGTAAAACCAGATTTAGACATCAGTCCTGTCTGATTCTAGAACCCATTAACTTCTGTTTCATCTTATGTTCTCACGAGTCTCCATTTCTCTGGCCCAGCATTGCTGGTTCACAGGGAAAGAGAAGGAAATTTGGGAGCGTGACCGGGTGGCCTAGGAGGTAGTTTCGTTACCCGGTAGGTCTGGGCTGAGTCTGGGGCCCTGTGATGTCTCGGCAGGTGCTGGGCCTGCGGAAAAGGGGATCAGGCCGTGGAGTGGGAGAAGAGGGGCTGGGGCAGGCCTGACAGCTTGCTGTATTTCTCTCCTCGCCGAGAACTGTGGTTCTTCGCCAGTGGACCCCGCCAGCCTCGTTGTTCTGTGATTTCTGGCCTCACCAAACTGTCTCCCCTGCATAGAAATAATAAGGGAGATAAAATAATAAGATAGCACAGGTCGGAGAAATGATTCAGTGTAAGGATGACTAATTACAACAGCTAAGTTGTGCTGAACGTTAATTAAGGACCTGATGGCATTCTCAGTGCTTTACAGATGTTAAATCTTTAATCCTCACAAACCACCTTATGAGGTAATTAATATCGACATACTCATTTTTCAGACAAAGAGACCAAGGTCGTATAGCTTTGTGTGACGGAGCTGGGATCCAGGCCGGGTCGGGATGTCTTCAAATGCCATGGTCTGAACCTCCAGGATAGGCAGCCTCTCTCAGGAAAATGACAATGAGACAAGACTGCACAGGCGTGGAGATCAAGCCTGATGGAGCCCCATAGAGAACCCCACAAGGTTTGGGGACTAAATTCAAAATAATTCAAGGACAATCCATTAGGGGTTATTTCAGTTTTTTGTTTTTTGTTTTTTTTTTAACTATATAAGAAAGCTCCTTAAAATGTAGTATCTTAAAACTACAACATTTTGTTATGTTTCACAATTCTGTGGGTTAGGAATTTGGGTAGGCTTGGGGCAAACTGGTCTTCTCTTCCACGTGGTGTGGACTGAGATCACACACAGCTGCACACACCTGGCCCCGGGCTGTCCCGGAAGGCCAAGGCTTCTGTCAACATCTGGTGCTTAATGCTCTTCCATATGGCCTTTCCACATGGCTAGCGGGGCTTCCTCCCAGCCCGGTGGTCTTAGGGTAGGTTTCCAAGATGGAAGAAGTGGACACCAGCAGTCTTTTTTTTTTTTTTTAAAGATTTTATTTATTTATTCATGAGAGACAGAGAGAGAGACAGAGGCAGAGGGAGAAGCAGGCTCCCCGCGGAGCAGGGAGCCCGATGCGGGACTCGATCCCAGGACCTTGGGATCATGACCTGAGCCGAAGGCAGACACTTAACCGACTGAGCCACCCAGGCGTCCCCCAGCAGTCTTCTTTAAGGCTGGGCCTGAAGTTGGCATGTTGTTACTTCTGCTGTGTGTCATGGTTCATAGCAAGCCGCAAGTGGGGTTGCCCGATAAAATACATGGTGCCCATTTAAATCTGATGAACAAATTCGGATAGACAAAATATTTTTTAGTATAAATCATGCAATATTAGGACATATTTATGCTTAAAAATTATTTGTTGTTTGTCTCAAATTCGATTTTAACTAGACACTTGTATTTTTATCCCAACCTTGTTGGGAGGGGTGGCATGTCATTCAGAGAAGTAAGGAATCAGTGGTGGCCATTCTTAGAAATCCAACATCGCAGGCGTCCATGGAATACATCCCAAAAGGTGGAGATGATATAGCATAATGGTTAAACCTGACACTCCAGAGTCTGAGTTTCAATTCTGTGATTTATGTGATCTGAGACAAGTGATGTCAACCCATCTGTGACTCAGTTTCTTTCTTTTTAAAAAAATATTTTATTTATTTATTTGAGAGAGAGAGAGAAAACAAGAGACAGAGCATGAGTTGGGGAGAGGGGCAGAGGGAGAAGCAAACTCCCTGATGAGCGGAGAGCCCCAGGTGGGGCTGGATCCCAGGACCCCGGGATCATGACTTGAGCCAAAGGTGGACCCTTAACTGACTGAGCCATCCAGGCACCCTGTGACTCAGTTTCTTTATCTTAAAAATGGGGCTATAGTAGTTTGTGTCTCATGGGGGTAGATGGGAGGATTTTATGAGATTAAAATAAAATTCCTGACATATAGCAGGTATTTGATAAACGTTTGTTATCATTAAGGCAGGATTTCAAGCGAGGATCTGGCTAACGTTCCAGTCCTACCTAGTCGGGGAGCCAAGGGCAAAGAGTGGTCCCTCTGAGGGTCACACCTAAGATGGGCACCATATCTAACACTGTCTTTGTACTGGCAGAGAGCTCGGTTGTACATTGGTACTTTCCTTAGGCTTGTCCTGGAAACAAGCCAGCACACACATCCGACATGCGCCCCTGAACCCCTGCCCCCCACTAGTACGGTATTATTCGAAGGAAAGTTTTCTGTTAAGCAAATGGCTTATTTTCATGAAAAGACAGCAGTTCTTAAACTGCTGAGTCTGGGATGGAGTGTTGGGATGGTGGGGGGGACCAGCTGGGGCCTGCTGTATTCTTAGTGCGTGTGATTGTTAACTTATGTGTTACCTTGACTGGGCTCAGGGATGTGGGCATCTCTGGTAAAAGGGATGCTAAAACGTTACTTCTGGCTATGTCTGAGTGGGGTTTCCAGATAAGATTAGCATTTGAATAGGTAGACTGAGTAAAGATCACCCTCACTAATGTGGGTGGGCTTCATACAAATTCATTTAGGGCCTCAGTAGAACAAAAAGGCAGAAGGACGAATTTGCCCTTTTGGCTGGAGTTGGAACATCCATCTCCTCCTATCCTCAGACATCGGTGGGCTTGGTTCTTCGGCTTTTGGACTCCCACCAGGAGTAACACTATCAGCCCCCAGTTTTCAGACCTTTTGATTTAGACCGAATTACACCACCAGCTTTGCTGATTCTCTGCCTGCAGATGGCAGATGGTGGGACCTCTCAGCCTCCATAATTGCATGAGCCAATTCCTATAATAAATCTCCTCTATCATCTATCTATCTATCTATCTATCTATCTATCTATCTATCTATCTATCTATCATCTATCTATCTATCATCTTTCTATCTATCATCATCTAATCTATCACGTTCTATTGGTTCTGTTTCTCTGGAGTGCCCTAATACAGTATGTTAAGAAAAATGACCCTAAACCATAAATAAAGCCAAGAGATGATTTCAGTACCATCACTGAGCATTGATCAACAGTTCACCCGTGCATTATTCAATTTTCTAAGAATATGTTGTTTCACTTCGATAATTATGAAGTTACAGGTGAACATGGAGGTTTCTTCTGGAAGAGATGCAGTTGTTTTTGGTTTCCTGTAAGAAGCAAGCCCAGCTGTGTTGGCTCAGCCCAGTCTGCCTAAAGCTCCCCTTTTCCCTCCCACCAGGCTCTATGATGGTCAGATTTTGTTTCTCTCTCCTCCCTATTTATACCATCCACATTTCTGGCCCCATGCTTTCCCCCCTTCCTGGATGATGTGTAGGCCAAAGTAAATCATTTAGGAATTTAGGATTTAGGAATTTGGAGCTAGAGGTAACCAGGAAAAACATAAACCATTTACACCCTATCCTCTGCTACCTCGGATTCTCCAGACAGGCAGAAATACAGACGTTTTAGCCCCCATGAGACAGGGTTCAAGCCAATTTTATTTGACTCTCAGAAAGATAGTAAACCTCAGTTGACATCTGGGTTTCACAATAAATTTCACCTCTTTCTTTCCCTCTAAAGTTAGTAAGATTGATTTCTGTTGCAATAAAAAAGGTTTTTTCTAAGACATAAAGATAGTTTGATCTTGACTGAAAAGAGCTCTATGGACTTGCAGCTTTTTATTTTGTTTGAATTGGCGATTTATAGAGAAATAATAGCTCATTATTGCTGTAGCATACAATCTGGCCCCTGGCTAGTTATAATGGAGATTTCTGTAGCTGGGGCTCCATCCAGCCCCGCAAAGTCAAATGATCACTATCTCCTTCCTATACTCAAATATCACATGGACCATTTCTCCAATATCACAGAAGGGCAATATCCCCTATCTAGCCTTTTCGGTTGCTGTGGCATTCAGTGCTCCTTTCTATATTTGAGAACTCTCACCGATAGGAGGAAGACAGAATCTGACTCCCACTCTGGGACCACTGAAGGCGGTCCTAGGGCTCTGGAAGGTAGAAGTGCACGTAGCATGTCAGGGGATGTAACGTATCCATGCTGAATGTGGTAATATTGATGGGTGTACAATAGGGATGCTGCCAAACAGGTGGATGTTCCTGACTCTGGCTTGAACTTCAGGGAATGATGGGAAGGCATAGGAACAGATGGAGATGAGATGTGGTTGGATGCGATAAGGATGGTACAGGATCGTGTCAGTGGCTTTGTCCTGCAGCTGAGCCGTGTTGAATGCTCAGGGGCGGCAGTGCTGGCCATAGCAATGGGGAATGCTCAAAGGTGATGCTCCCCAGTGGGGGAACCTGCACAGACCATTCCTGTGGCAGGTGTTCAGCTGTGTTTGGCCATTCTTGGTTCCTGTCCCAGCTGGGATCTCTAGGCTTCTCTTCTATTTCATGAGCTCCCAGATACCTTTCTAACAAATTCCTTTTCTGCTTAAGTTAAGAACCCTAATTCGTACAGCGGCCTTGACACCTTTATTCCTAGGCTGCAGACCAGGGGGTTCAGCATGGGGATCACAATGGTGTAGAGCACAGAGAGGGCCTTGTTATAGGCTGAAGCCCTTTCTGGGTTGGGTTGGACATATACAAAGAACATAGACCCGTAGAGGAGGGAGAGGACAGTGAGGTGGGAGGCACAAGTGGAGAAAGCTTTGCTCTGGGCCTCCAGGGACCTCATCCTACAGATAGTGATCAGGATGTAGGTGTAAGAGACCAAGATGCCTGACACCATGGGGACAGTAACCAAAGCAGAAAAGAAGAGCAGGATGACGTTGGCTACAGTGGTGTCTGAGCAGGCCAGGTGGAGCACGGGGGGATGTCACAGAAGAAGTGATCAATGATGTTGGGACCACAGTAGGGCAAGATGAAGGCATTCCCTGTCTGCACAGCTGAAATGGACACCCCCACAGCATAGGAGCCCACCACCAGCTGGATGCACAAGCACTTGGACATGATGGTGTGGTAGAGGAGAGGGTAGCAGATGGCCACAAATTGGCCATAGGCCATGATGGCCAAGAGCAGGCACTCCCCTGTGCCATGGAGGATCATGAAGGCCATCTGGACCACAGAGCCTGCAAACGAGATGGACTGGTCCACGGTGAGGAAGCTGGTCAGCAGCCTGGGGGTGAACATGGAGGAATTGCAGATGTCTAGGAAGGGGAGCACGCTCAGGAGGAAGTACATGGGGGTGTGGAGGGAGGAGCTGGTACGGATCAGGTCTATCATGCCCAGGTTGCCCACTGGTGTCACAGCGTAGATCAGCAGGAAGACGCCAAAGAGATGTTTTTGGTCGGCCTGGTCTGTGAGGCCCAGCAGGATGAATCTCATCAGCATGGTGTGATTCTGCCCTGATGTCATTCTGCTGGTATGTTACACACGGGACAATGGCCAAGGGTAAGAGAAACAGGGATGTTAACATTCTCATCAAAGAGGTAGCCTTTAACATCTCCTACCACCGAAGAGCCCATGTATCTCCGAGTGGCAGACTTGTCCCCAAACTCCACATCAATCTCATCCTGTCACACTCATGCTGAGGTTCTAAGGGTTCTCTGTCCCCCTTAGGACGACGTCTACTTTCCTCTGCTTCCACATCACGTGTGTTTTGTGCCACCTCCATGCTATCCTGCTCTCAGTTTGCAATTCTGAACAATTTACTTCTACAAACACACTGAGCTATTGCAAATGTCTATGCCTTTTCAAATTCTATATTTTCTTGTTGGAATGTCCTTCGGTCTCTCCAAACCCAGTTTAGAGGTTCATCTCCTCCCTCCCTCCCCTGAATTTCACAGATACTCCTTCAGTCAAATTCATGGCACTCTATTTTAACATGAAAAAAAAATGCCCATCCATCTTTCCTGTTGGACTTTCTCACTCCTGGTAGGAGGAGAGTTACTTCCTATCTCAGGAATTTGTGCTCTGGTATCAATCACAGCGCCAGTGTCAATGAATAAATATAAATTAATGATCAATTCGGTAAGAAAATCTTCCTCATTGCAAACCCCGCAGCAAATCCTATTGGCTCTACCTCCAAAATGTGTACCAACTTCCCACCCCTTCTTTGCAAGACACCCTCATACCCTGCTTGATTAATTGCAAATTGCTCTGAGCTGGTGTCCTGCTTCCCTATTAGGAGGAGCAGCTGGGGCGAGCCTGTCACTGCACCCAAGAGAAAGGCAGGATGCTCACAATGGCTCTGTGAGTTTGGCCACTACTCCATCACTTCCTTTCACCTCTCTGGCCTCTTGTCTGCTCTTTTCCCTCTCACTTATTCTGCTCCAGCTACTCATGTCTCCTCGCCCCTCTTAGGACACGCAGGAGGGATTCAGGACCTCCGCGCTACTGTCCCTGCCCCTCGTCCCTTGGAGCACTCTTGCTCCTGGTCGCCACAGGGCTCCTTCCCTCATTTCCTTTAAGTTCAGGCTCCAGTGTCACCTGCATGTCAAGCCCTCTCTAAGCATCTTTTTTTTTTTTTTTAAAGATTTTATTTATTTATTTGAGAGCGAGAGAATGAGAGACAGAGAGCATGAGAGGGAGGAGGGTCAGAGGGAGAAGCAGACTCCCCGTTGAGCAGGGGGAGCCCGATGTGGGACTCGATCCCGGGACTCCAGGATCATGACCTGAGCCGAAGGCAGTCACTTAACCAACTGAGCCACCCAGGCGCCCCTCTAAGCATCTCATTTACAATGAAACCCTGTCTTACCCCGGCACTCGCTATCCCTCTTCTCTGTTTCCTTTTTGTCCTCATAGGACTTTTTCTCTTCTAATATGCGACACACACATGACATATTGCTTTTGCCTACGAGCTCTGTCTTGATGTCAGGATGCTAGAACCGTGGAGCTGGGCATTTGTGTCAGTTTCATTCATTGCCGTATCTTCAGCGACTGGCACATAGTAGGCTCTCAGTAAACACTTGTGGCATGGGGGAAGGGAAGCTGGAAAGAAGATACAGAGTCTCTTTGAGGTAAATCAGGCTGCAAAGAGGATGGTTACTACCCAGATGGGTGGGTTCAGAATGCTTTTTGCCCAAGTCAGGTGGTAAAAATTGGAGAATGATTATGATAAGAAGTGGGAAAGAGTGGAATCGGGGGATGATGCCCCGTGAAACCCAGTGCCTCTGAAAGCTGGGGCCTGTGGTGCCTAGTTGTCCAGTTGCACCCATGCTCCGCTCTTCCAGCCTAGGAGTTTTGGCCCAAATCCCTGAATTCATAGCCCTCATCTTGACTCTCTGACAACCACACATTTTTAATTCGAGTTGCTGTGGAGGCTTTAGGGTGATTCTTTTCAGATGAGTGTATGCTTTGCATCCTATACTGATAACTTTGGTAGGATCTCTTTATAAGATGATAAATTTTTGTAACAATTCTATCATTTAATATGAACTTGAATACATATTTGGATATACACATATTGGATATACTATTTGAGGGGTTGAAACAATTAAGAGTATCTGCTTAATTTGACTCAAATTAAGGAGGATGATTGGCTAAGTTGAATGAGCTGAATTTATGTTTGATTTGACTGCTAAAATGCAGAAGAACATTTGATCTATTAAATACATAGGTTTTGATTTAGTAATTTTCTGGAGTTGTTTAAATGCTCATGAAGGCATTTGAAGGGCTTGGGAAATCAGGTACATTAAATTTGTGATTGTAGTTTAAAAGGTTGAAGAACATTTAATTAATCATGTTTATATATAGTGTTTAAATGTTTAAGAGAATTTGCTTCTGTGGATTTTGTGTGTGTGTGACTTTGAATTGTTTAAGAGAATTTAACTGTAAACAGTGCTTAAATTATTTGGGGGAATTTAATGTTAGATTTTGAGGCTAAGGGAACATTAACCAAGGATCAAGTGTGATTATTTTAAATTCTAACAAACATTACTAGATCTAAAATTCAATTGATTATATCTGAAAGTTGCATTTAATGGCCTAAGAAAAACTGAGTTCTAAATTTACAACTTAAAATATTATGATCAATTGACAAATGGCTTTAGAGAATCCTTTCCATGCACAAAAGATCTGGACATCAAAAAAAAAAAAAGTCACTGGCGTAACATGACACATTGTGGGAGCTCAAACACTGGTGGATTTGAATGTATTGAGGGGAGAATCATGAAGGAGCCACAAGACTGGGCATCTTTAGTCTTGGAGGAGTTGGGTTGGGAACACAGGGAGTTTCAGGGAATTCTGCCGGGAGCCACCAGATCTGCCTGTGGTCCCAGTTATGCTACACTTGTGATATGCCACTGGGCAAGGATTGGAGACAGCTGAGTCCTGTGCACCGATCTGCTTCGTCTGGGCTTTTGGGATTCCCAGGAGGACTGAGATGGTCAAAACAGATGCGCTTCAGAGAGAATGGGGAGCTTATAATGATCCCAAGTGGCTGTGGAGTGAGGAAGACATGTTACAATGGAGGAAACATATTTGTTGAGCTCCTGCTCTGGGCTCTTCTCTAGGTCAGGTACTCCCCTCACCCCAACCTGATTTGAGAACTGAGTAACCTGCTTGAGGTCCCAAAAAGATGAACTGATATCTGAACTTGAATGACCATCTGGACAGTGTTTGGCAGAATCCTCTATTCACTAGGGAGGGATAATAGCTGGGGGAAAGCGCATAAAGAACACAAGCTGGAGAAATTATTTCATGAGAATCGAGAGATAAAATAAGGCAACCAGAGCTGAACAGTAAAACCCAATCATTCAGCCAGCCAAAGTCAGCACGAGGTCCTCACAGGAAGGCTTTTTAGGTGAAGTCATTGTCAAGTTCCCAGTCACCTGATGGTAGAAAGGTGACCCAGATGTGCAGAATGTCTTCCATCTGCAGAACACTGAGATCTGCAGTTCTTGTCCTCAGTGGCAGGTCTCTGGAATCCCACCAGGGAAATTGGGACCCCCCCCAGAGCCTCTAGACTCTGAATACGCACCCTTTGGAGTTTCCACGTTGGTGGAACACTGACACATGGGTAACACAAGGCAATGCTACTCTGTTCCAGTAACCAACTGTTCCAAGTTGGATCCCTGTTCCAAGAATCAACTCTGCTGGGGACTCCCCAAGAGGGTTCTTGAAAGTGTTCGTTGAGTGAATCAATTTCATTGAATTTTCAGGTGGATGGAGGTATAGAAAGAACAAGGGGATTCTCTTTCAATTTTAGTTGTTGTTTTTTCGAGTGGGAAATATATTCCAGTGGTACAAAATTCAAAAGGGACTACATTGAAAATAAGTCCTCAACCTGCCTGTTCCCTGCTGATTCCCCAGCCACTCAGCAATCTGCCTCAGAAGCTACCAGTTTCTTGTATATCTTTCCATGGTTAGTCACTGCTTATATAAGCAATATGTGAACCTATATTTTCTCCTCTTTTTATAAAGATACAAATGGTAGCAAACTATACACGTTGTTCTGTACCTTGTTTCTATTTTTTTATTTAACTTATTTTGGGGCTCTTTCCAGGACAGTAATTAAGGGCTGCCCATCTTTCCCCACCAAACGCTGCGCAGTGTTGCATTTTATAACATTTCAGCAGTTTCCCGCTGAGGGACTTTGAAATTGTTGCCACTCTTTTACGATGAGCAGCAAAACAGCACCTATCTTAAAGCCATTTAGGGTTAAAGCAATTTGCAATCCAGAGCGTGGAGACCTCAGTAAAAGATATTCGCATGCACCTCTGATAAGGCGTTCATGCTGGACCGTTCACAGTTTTGGGGGCGGGGGAGACAGAAGAAACCTGGCAGGTTCGCAGAGGGGTTCTGCTTAGCTTTCTCTTGCTTCTTTCTCTTTTTTCCTCCCAATCAAATGGGACAGAGGCTCACAAGCTATTGTTACGGATCTTTAGCACCTGGTCACCAAAATGGAACTTGTACACCTGCAGCTTCGACATCACTGCGTGCTCCTTAGAAATGCAGAATCTGGTTCTTCAGACCCACTACTGAATTGGATTTGCATTTTAACTAGACCCGCAGCTGACTTCTCTTCTGGTTCGAGTTTGAGACATGCTGAGGGGCAGCCCGAGTAGACTGAGTTCCTGGGCCAGTCGATGCCTGGGGAGAGGGACAGAGAGAAGAAGACTCCTAGTCCCCAGTTGTGAAACTCCCTCACAGGGACCTCTGGGTCAAGACTGGCCCTAAAAGTGACCACACATTTGGTGTGAATGTCTGGAAGTGACTGGGGGGTGGGGGCTGAAGGGGGGAGTGTCGTGAAGGCGGGGGACTTGCTGAAGGAGAGAGCCCCTGAGAAGTAGACACTCTGGTTCCAGCCCAGATGCGAGAATGTCAGACAGTGCCCCGGCCACGGGCGGCCTCCTCCCTTGCCCAAGAGGAAAACTCACTATCCTCTGTGTAGGGTATTGAAGTTGCCTTTTTAA